GAGAGTACAGCTTCGAAGCAATTTTGCTGCGGTGCTATGGAGAACGTGGCAAGGCGCACGGCGCCATGAAATCGGAATTTTTACGGCCACTCCTCTTCTATTTGTTTGCGCAGGTAAGTTCAGACTCCAATCACGAATCTCAACTATGGACTGCATAAACTTCAACCACGTATACTGGCAAATTTCCTTGTTGCAGGTGTTGCCGACTGACGAAGCGGTGCAGTACACGGTGTCGCACAATAGTCCGAAAGAGAAGTATCCGAAACGGCCCAGCTCCTTCGTTGGAGCAGTCCTTGTTTGTTTTACAGGTTTTTTACCAGCGAAATTCTGGATCGAAGCCTTGACACTGAATAATAATTTTTCTGTGCAGGTTACAAGAACGCGGGCTTCGGAATACCGACTGACGTTCGCACGGAGCTATTAGCGGAGGAGACTGCGTTTGCTCGATCAATAGCACACCTGACATGCGTACGGACGACAGTACTGGTAAGCTTGAGTTATCAGTCGAGTTAAAAGTATTTGCAGTATGTGTGAAATAGTTCTTATACAATACTATTTTCAGCAGCGAATGCCGCTCCGGAAAACGAGGAGGCCAGCGCGTGCAAGAGGAATGAAAATAGATCGATTAATTCCCAATACAAATCCTACTTATAGTTATGAAACTCAGCAATTCAGTTTGTGTGATACTCACGAACGGCCCTGAAAATGGCAGACTCCGGATCCAGAAAAGCTAGGAGTTTGAAATTTTCAGAGAATGTTGCTAACCCAAGTTGAACTTAAATTTTTCAAATTCAGCCCTCAGCGCGAGTGTTAATCACATATGGCCCAGTGAAAAGTTTTTGACGCGGGAATGGCTAACTCAGGAATCAGCAAAGCTGGGGAGCTGAAATTTCTAGGGAATGTTCCCAGTGCAAGTGCAGCTTATAATTATCAAGCTCAGCTCTTCAGCTTGTGTGGTACTCACGTACTACTTCGTAAAGTTTTTGGCGCGAAAATGGCTAACTTGGGATCCAGGAAAGTAGGCAGGCTGAAATTTTCAGTGAATTTTCCTAGCCCAAGTTCAGCTTAAATTTTCCAAATTCAACTTCTCAGCGTGAGTGATAATCACATACGGCCCCGTGAAAGGTTTTTGGCGCGGAAATGGCTAACTCAAGAACCAGAAAAGCTGGAGAGCTGAAATTTTCAGGGAACGTTCCCAGTACAACTACAACTCACAATTATCAATTTCAGCCCCTCATTATGAGTGGCTACCACGTACGGCCCCGTGAAAATTTTTGGCGGGAAAATGTCTAACTCAGTACCAGGAAAGGTGGAAGGCTGGAGTTTTCAGGAAATACTGCTAACACATATTCAGTTTAAAATTATCAAATCCAGCTCCCGAGCATGCGTGATTCTCACGTGCGACTCTGTGAAAGGTTTTTGGTGCGGAAATGACTAACTCAAGGTCCAGGAAAGCTGGGGAGCTGAAATTTTCAGGTAATGTTCCCAGCCAAGTGCGACTTAAATTTATCAAACTCAGCCCTCGGGCGTAGGAGGTGTCGCTTGCGGCCCCGTGAAAATCTCTGGTAGGAAAATTACTAGCTCAAGAACCAGAAAATTTGGAAAACTGAAATTTCAACGAATTTTTCCCCGTCCACACTTCCCGGATTTTGAGGACCAGTATATCACACATTTCTAGCTACTGGGTTCTGAGCGATCTCATTACAGCATGAAATGTTGCAAAAAAACATGTTCGCTTGGGCCCGCCCAGTGCGCGTCGCCAATGATTTCCTTACCAGTTGCTACTTTTATGCTCTGTGAGTCGCGGTATCTCTTCTAGGTATCGCACCATCCTCGCTTTAGTTAGTCCTGCTAATCTTTGTAATGAGCAGAATATTTTGTGCTTCTTCTTTCAGTAAATAATCTTTCTCTCTGAATATTTCTGCCGGCTTGTGGCACTAATTTTCATGGTGAACCTTTCAATAGATAATGAAAGGAAAAACTGTTATTTTCACCATAAAAAAATTTAGACTTCTCGAAAATAATCGGATCTTTACATTTGCTGAAGCATAGCAGAAAATACACTAATTACATTTCATCAGTCCGGCCTCATTTCTAGGGCTATACAACTGAATATCTCTTTAGTGCGCGTCGCCAATGATTTTAGTGGTCGATAATTATTCAACCTATAGGTTTTACAATGACTGTGTTAAAAAAAGCAGTTTGGAAACACTGATATGTGAAAGTCTCTTCTTGTTGTGGGAAGAAAAAATACCTGAGTGCACCGAAAAATCGAAATTTTCAGGCGTTTAGAATCCAAATAATATCCCGATCTTTCATCTCTAGACCTGTGAAAGCTACAGGGATGAAACTCTGGGGACTTAATTTACATTTACGGACCCCATGTTCAAAATTGGGTGTTCTTACCCACGTGGTATTCACATTCGGATCGACAAAGTTTTTGGCAGGCAAGCTGCTAAATTTGGGCATTTCTGTTGTACTTTTATGTAATAGTGCAAATGCTGCTTGTTAATGAATTACCTAGATGCTGGATTAATTTTGAATGAATTTTTTTTAAACAAATTTTTTATAAAAACCATGTTTAATGCAGCTCACCTTGCAGCAGACGTATGTGGAAGGGAAGGAAGAAAGCAAAAGGAGTGAAACCAGGCTGGAACGCACCAGGCGGCGGGTGCGATTATGCGTTTTTGCACTTTTCGTACCATAGCAAGATCGCAAGGAGTCAATGTAGCTAAC